AGGAGAAAGGCTCATCATAAGGCTTGCCCTGAGTTTATGGGCTGTATTTCAAAACCTGTGTGAGCCTGAGCACAAGGCACACAGGGTGACCCTTGGAGAGCTGGGAGCAGGCATGGGACACGTGCTGGGGAAGGGCTCCCTGGGAGGAGGTGTAAGATGTGCTGCATCCACCTGGGCCTCACTGCACACATTGAGTGTGCAATTACGCAGCTCCTGCCACCCCCGTGCCCTCAGTGGTGCTTCCATAGTGTGCCCTTATCCTGGGAGGTGTCTGATACACACTGAGCTCTTCAGCTGGGAGATGCCCATTCCTGAGTGACCAAAAGAGCAGACCCCACTCTAGATTTACACCTCAGAGAGTTGTCACTGCTGGACTTATCCTTTCATTTTTCAAACAGAAATTAGAGCAATATGAAGTCTAGAGTTGATATTGTGACTTTGGCATCACATGGAAGTTGCCTTGAGTATGAAACAGAGAAAGAGGGGAATTAATCACAAGTACTGTTGGATTGGACTTTCAGAGCAAGTCCAGCACCTTCTGGATAGCCACAGATAGTCAATCACAGCCAAACCAAACCATGCTTGGTGGGCATATAGTGATCCCCCATGCAGGACCTCCCCAGCTGGTCAGACAGGTCCTGCCTGTTCTGGTCCTATTACATGTGCACTGTAAAGCTGAACAGCAAGTTTTCTAGAGCCACAACTCCAGGACTTCTGGATTCTGGCAGGCCTGGCAGAGCCCCCTGGCTGTTAGCAAGGCTGTTTGGTGACTTTATTCTGGGCTCCTTGGTCTAAAGTCCAAGACATCCCAAATGTCTTGCTGGGTTTTGCAGCTACCAAGTTGCACAACTGGCCAAAATTCTCCTCACCTTCAGTCTGGATGTCTGGAAATCTCCAACAAGTGACTTTGTTTGATACTTCTTGGGGGTTTTTTCCCTTGCCCAAAGAAAATTTCTGTCTGGAAAAACTTTTAAATTATAAAATACTCCCCAGACCCTTGGGTGTGTGTCCTTTTGGATGCCATTACAACTACCACATCAGAAATATATTCTGTGAGACATTTATAGCTGTGAAACACAGCTGGAGCAGTGGCAGGAGAGGAGCACAGGACAGACACTGTCCCTGTGCATGAAGATTAATACCTTTGGGCAGGAAGTTACAGTCTGTCTACAAAGGCCCCTGAAGAGCTTTATTATTTATGGATAGTATCATTATTTAGAGTCCAAAGGTTTGCCCTTTTTCTCGGCTTGTTTCAACAGACATCAAAGGAGGACTCATCAGTGTCTTCCTCTCCATTGCCAGAAGGTAGGAGTAAGAATTGTAATTGGGACTCTTTACAGTCAAAATGTTTATAAAAAACCTTCCCTAATTATTTAATAATGAGACATTTGATGATGCACTGGAAGCAACATTCATTTTCATCCAAGAAAACAGAAGTAGCATCAGATGTCTGCTTGAGGAAAAAATGCCATGGAAGAGTACACTCTGCAGACACTAATCCGTGTAATCCCTGGGAAGGATGATGCCTTGTTTTCTAAAACTAGTTTCAAGACAGACTATGATATATATATATATACACATGTATCTCACTAGAAATGGGTGAACAAGCCTCAGTTTGTGCCATCCTGATAACTCAAAGACAGCAGAAGGACTACTGAGGGCAAATGGGACTGTGTGTTTATCTGGGCTGTAGCTTCTGCCTAGAAGTTAAACCAGAGGATAAATGTGCAGATAACATCCAGTGTCAGTCAGATGACACAGCAAGGCATTAACCTTCTCACCAGTGCAGGCAGTTTGACTTGTATGAAGAAACCTGGAGTGCACAAATAACATATCATGTAATAGCAGAAATCATCAAACAGCAGATCGATTGCCTCCCATCAGGAAAATTTCTCCTCTCACCCTAAGAAGAGCAATACTAGGGACTCCATGATACCTAAACACTGGCTTGACTTTACTCCAGCTATTGTAGAATCAACAGTTTATCTCCTGCATATGCATGAAGTGAGTTAGGCATAGATTAATTTGGGAAAAGGTTAGGCTAGCAATGGAATAAAATACTGCCAGCAAATCTCTGCTGCAGGACTATTTTCAGATTGCTTTGGGCACAAAGGTTGCCCAAGAGTTCATCATTTTGAGGCAGGCAAGAGCCTTGGGGCTCCATTAATGTAAAACACTGGGTTTCTAAGCCACGGGTATTTACAGAGACTCGCCCAGTCCTGTATATTAATGCCACTTGGATACAATCTCCTACAAGTGTTCCAAATGGATGTTTTGTGACTGTGAAGTTATCTTAAATTTCATGGGAAATTTAAAACATCCTTATCTAGCATCTGTTAAACAATGGGTTTGGGAAGGGAGGTAGATTTTGGAAAGAAAACTCATGTGCATGTAAGAAGGTGGAATAATTCACATACACACATTCTGGTGTGAGAGCACAGGTAGTTTCAGCAGCAGGAATAATGATGCAGCCATGGTGAGGGGCATGGTGTGTCAGGTAACCAGGGACACATTTCCACAGCTCAAGTTTTCCTTGGAGCATGAGCAGGGCAAACCCAAACCTGCCTGCAAAATCCCCAGAAGAAACCATCTTAAAATTTATAGCCCTTACATAACCCTAAGCCCCACTTGTACAATCATTTATACACACACTTAACTCCATAAACAACTGCCAAGTGGAATAGCTACCCACAAACAGGAAGGAAAGCCTGTGACAGCATCCCTGCAGGATTGGGGCACCAGCCTGTGGGAGCCAGAGGCCTCTCCTGGATGGCAGGAAGGCCCTTGGCACGCTGTGGGTGCAATGCAAAGCTCCGCAGCAGTCAAACCTGAATAGAAACATTGGTTAACACTATTTCATTATTCAAATATCTGAAAGCTGTGGAGTCAAACATGTCATTTTTACAGGAGAAAATGTGAAATCCCCACACTGCCTGTTTCCTGGACTGGAAGCTGGGCACTTCAAACAAGTCTCTGTAGCACACACTGCCTTTGAGACTTTTTTTTCTCATTTTCATAAAATCATAGAATCATGGAATGGCCTGGACTGGAAAGGACCTTAGAGATCATCTACTTCCAGCCCCCTGCCCTGAGCTCCGAGGACGAACAACCAGCATCACTTGCAGTTATTTTTTTCCACAGACAACAATCAACAGCTCTGAACTCAACTCCCAGTGCAGCCTGGGTCAAGTTTCAAAAAGCCTTCATGTTCTCTGTGTGTGTGTGTGCACACTTTAATTTACTGTGGCTACAGAACTGCATCTGTAGGACTACATTTAATTTTTTTCTTTTCTAATCTCCCAGGCAGTTCTCTGTGACAGTGAGTGTGTCACAGCACAACATCCCTTGCAGTGATTGCACAAGTTAGGCTCCAGCCTCTTGCCTTAGCAAGCTGGGCAACCCAGGGATCTTCTGCACGACACTCCTCATGTTTTATTGCCGCCTGCAAAGATCTGGTTTGAGTCTCTTCCAGTGTCAGAGGTCTTTATTGCTAAACAGCCCTGGCTGTTGAGTAATACATGAATTTAATGTGCTCATCCTGCAATGCCTGCTTAGAAGGTCGTGGAAATTCAACTTAAAACTGCAGTCAGCTCTTTTTTCCCCCTCTTCTTCATTCTGTCTCTGAGTTTTCTCTTTGCTGTTTCCCATGCTGTAGCAGCCTCTAATGAAGCAGGCTGTCACCTCAGTGCTCAGGCACATGAAAGAGATGATCTGGAGGAGGGAGGGGCAGTGGCAAGTCTCATAACAGCAGCATCCAGCTTGTGCTGCTTTGACAAGATGTGAAATAGTTCCATTCATCCCGACCACCTTATTAATAATCAAAATCCAGGCACAGAAGAAAGCATTGCTGGTAACACTTCATCTGCCTGTTTGGCAAGAGGCATGTGGGGAGGACATGGAAGAATCTTCTGAAGAAGAGCACCAATGCCCATGGCAGGACTATTTCATATCTGGAAGAGGTCAAGGAATGTTTCTGGGAGCCAGGCTTTGGAGAGGAAGCAGAAATCATGCTTTTGAACATTCTGTATCAAAGCTCTCTCAAATGTGCCACTGTTGCCTCTGGTACTTTTTGCTAGGAAACAAAAAACTTCTGTGACAGCTCCCAGCAGTTACAAAAGTGGAGCTACCTTATTACTGGGGAAAAAGTTCTAAGTATGTAAATGTGTCTCTAAATTTTTAAGCAAGTCTGGTGCCTTTCACAGAGCTTTTCAGCAGGCACTCCACACTTCCAGCAGGAGCCCCAGCAGTTTACTGGGAGCAAATCCCGGGTTGTATTCTGAAAGAACATTTGCAGGTTTATCCCCTCAGATATTTCATTTTTCTCCCTGATGTTCCCAGTGCTGGGATCTGGGGTACGAGTGAGAGTACCCTCTTTACTTGAAGCAGAAGATTAATTTTCAGCTCTCACAATTGAAAAGAAATGCTGAAAACCATAAACTCAAAAAAAGACGTGGACATCTAAACAGCCACCAAAAGGTTTGAGTGGTTTGGGGCAGTGAAACTGAACTTGTGGTTGTCCCTCTGCCTGTTGCACATGAGAAATCTGATTCTAAGAGTTATGCTCCCATGGTCAGTGAAGAAAAGCACACTAAGTACTCACCTATGCAGTTAATGCTCCAAATTTGATCATCAAATACTGCAATAAACTGCTCTCAAACAAGTTCCAGATTCAGTACTATTTGCAGAAATAGTAACAACCAGCATTTGGCAGCTACTGAGAAACCTGTTATTTTCTAATCGGCTGTTCATGATGACCCCAAATAGACAAAATTAACCTAATAAGGTGTTCATTATGTATAATTTACCAGCTTGTGCAAGTGTCAGTCCAGAACACAGGACCACACCTGACCTTTTAATAGACACGTTTTTCTAACAACTACTTTCCAGTAGGCTGTGTTGTAAAGCAGCTCAGCTTTTATCCTGGTGACTGATCAAAGTATCCTTCCTCCCCTCTGGCACTGAGCATCCCGCTCCATTAATGCTCCACACTCTTATCACACCTCTTCAGTCCTGTTCCTCTGATGAAGGGCAGGAGCTGCACTGTGTCTTCTGGGCACTCTCAGAACATCTCTATTGCAGGTACAGGCCACTAGAAAAGGAAAATAAAAGGCATCAAGCACAGAAGCAGAGGGGCAATGACAGGAGGTGGCATGTCTGGGAGGTCAGCGTGTGTTGGGATGGGATGTTATCCAGGTGAGCCTGCTCTACGTCAGAGTCCATGGATCGATGTGAAACATCCCCAGGTCAGGGCCCTGACTCTCACACTGATGCAAACAGCCGGAGCTGCTAAAATGTCACAGCCTGTCCTGCCCCTGCACCCCATGTGACCATCCCCAGCAGGCACAGCAGCAGCCTCTGTGCCAGCACGGCCCCAAACCCGTGACACCCACCTCTGCTGGCAGCACACACACACCAGCCAGCCTGCAAATCAGGAGCCAGGAACACCGGGATGTGTTCCCTGCTGCAAGGCTGGTCACCCTTGGTGGCTGCTCTGTCAGCAGCTGGGACTCCCCCACTCCGATCTGCCGGGGCTTCTGTGGTGCAGTGAGTTCAAGATTCACCCCTTCACCTCAAACCCATTAAAGCCAATCTCAGCAGCAAAATGGGTTTGCAAAGGGACAGTGGCAAACCAGCTGCCTATGAAAGGAATCATCATACTGCACTGAACACAGGCTCCCGAGCAGAGCACCAAAGCATGAAGCTATAACCAAAGTCTGCAACTACTCAGCAGCCCTGAAAATCTCAGGGCCTATTCTCAACTACAGTGAGTGCTTTGGGAAGTTCCTCTTCTATGGCTTTGATGTGGGGCTCAAAGCACCTTCCCCACGGTGAGGAAGAGGCAGCTGTCTGTTCCAATGTGGTGAGACCCCACCCGCAGTGCTGCTTCCAGCTCTTGGGATGCTCAGCACAGGAAGAACATCATCTCATTGGAGCGAGTCCAGAGGAGGCCACCAAGTTGATCAGAGGAATGGAGCACCTCTCCCATAAGGAAAGGCTGAGAGAATTGGGGTTGTTCAGCCTGGAGAAGTTCTGCAGTGACCTAATTGCAGCCTCCCAGTACCTGAAGGAGCCTATAGGAAGGATGGAGAAACACTATTTATAAGGGCCTGGAATGACAGGACAAAGGGGAATGGCTTCACACTGAAAGAGATTAGGTTTAGATCGGGTATTAAGAAAAAATTCTTCCCTGTGAAGGTGGTGAGGCCCTGGCACAGGTCGCCCAGAGAAGCTGTGGCTGCCCCATCCCTGGAAGTGTTCCAGGCCAGCTTGGACAGGGCTTGGAGCAACCTGGTCTAGTGGAAGGTGTCCCTGCTCATGGCAGGGAGTGGAAAAAGATGAGCTTTAAGGTCCCTTTCAACTCAAAGCATTCTGTGATTCTGTGTCAAATCCAAGGGAAAACCTCAGACCCCATCTGAAGTAATGCCATGTGGTGCTCCCACTACCTGTTTAGAACCCCATGGGCTCCTGCATCCCTTTCCAGGGTGTTCCCTGTCCCTGTGTGCCTGCCTTTACCTCTGTTGGTCTGTGAGGTGAGTCAGCTAACTCCTAAGTCCTTCTAACCAACACAGGTGCAGAATGGCAGCCAAATCTATCTACATTAAAGACCAGCCTACATAGGCTGGGGATTTTTAATATGGAAGGTCCTTTCCTTTGGGGTACAGTTTCCTCTCACTTGAATCAATGATCATTTGTTACATTAATTCAGAGACAGAAATCAGCTACACAGCATTCATGCTCTTTAATTGTCCAGCCCAAAAAATCAATGCTTTTATTGAATTAGCCAGTTGCCACAGCAAGTTTCCTTTGATTTCTATGGCTCCCATGAATCAATAGCAGTCTGTTATTGCCTCTAAGCGGAGCAAAGTCAGACCCCAAGTCACGCTGCTGGATGAAAACACAAATCTTCCTGCAGAATTCTGTGCATCAGGTGGATATGGGACCACCTGGCAATTTGCCAAAAAAGTATCTCCAGAGTCTTCCTGCCCTGCCTCACCAACTGCTCTCAGCTCATAACTCCAGCCTTGCTTAACAATTCTCATCTCCCACGCTCAGTATCTTCTGTTTTCCTGCTTTCTTATCAGGTTTTCCTCTGCCATAGGCAAGACCTTCAGCTGCTGTCTCCAGACTGTCTTAGGTGCAGGTGTCTGTGCCAGAAACACCTTTCCCTGCACAGGCCTGCATCTGAGAATCCTAAATGCCTCTCCAGGACTCCCTTCCCTGTGCTGGTGGCAATAAGTCATCTTATACTGCTGGTCCAAATATTTAGGTGTTTGGTTTTTCTGTTTGGTGTTTGGTTGGTTGGTTGTTTTTTTTCACAAAGGTAATTTTGTTGTTGTTCTTTTCCAGCCTTCCCATAAAAGTAGCCATTTTTTATCAGCACAGCTGGCTGGGAAGCGTGACTCATACATAAATTACCACTTTTACTGCACTCCTGCCCTTTGTCAGCTTTTCTGCTGTCAGCTAGGTGGGACAGCACCATTATTCTTCAGTGTTTAGCAAACACTCTCCACGTAATGGGCGGTGCTGTAAATAAAAGAAAATAAGACCTGAAATGAAACGCAAGCTGACTGACAGGGCTTTTGTGAAGCCATCTGAGCTTTGCAGGGGTTTAATCAGCTGTGCTGCACTGTTACATGGCACTTACAATGGCTCTGCCTCACTTCCATAGTGTCAGACAGGATCCCAAGGGGATGGCCATGGAAATCAGGTCTTTAGCTCTTTTACCCATGGCACACTTGGGTTGATTAAGAATGATCTGTGCCTTACAGGCTGAGAAGCACCGTGTGACTTGTGCCTGGCATGAAATGATGGATAGCCCAGCACTCATTGCCTAATCAGAATTTCCTCCAGGAAAATCGGGGGAAGTGGTAGAAATTAATGCCAAGCAATGGCAGGGCTGCAGGAAATGTCAGAACTGATGGGGGGAACTTCCAAAGAGAAATTGGCCCTTCGTTAGTGAGGGCAGAAGCTCATAAAAATCCTGTGCAAACATATTTTGGTCATGTTGTAGAGAAGAGAACACAAGGGAAAGGCAAGGATTGCAAAGATGACTCAGTGCTAATGTGAGCACGAGTGAAAATCAGGGGGAAACCATAAAGCAAGCTCAGGAGGGCTGCAGGATTTCAGCTGCCAGGTGGAAATAAAAGAAATTAGTGCATTGCACGACACAGCTCAAACTGGGGCATCAAAGCAGTATGAATAGTATTCCATGATATTCTTTGTAGGAGAAATAGAAGTGTTTTCACAGTGCCAACAACGAGAGGCTTCTGAATGCACAGTGCTGGAAGTGGATATCATTTGTGTAGTACTGCCTACCCCAAACACCCAAAACTTTCAAGTCAGGATTGAGAACTGTGAAAGCGGCTTGAAAATTGACAGGTGTATTAAAACACTCCATATATTCTCAATGTTTGCCTTCTAGTTTTCAACCTTCATGCAACTTTCAGTTTTCTGAAGTAAATGAATTAGAGCTTCATTCTCTGAATTAAAAAGCAAACAAACAAACAATGAAACCAAGCCTCAAACCACCAAAGTCTCATCATCCTCAGAAAAAAACACCCAAACCACTAATTATTCCAAGATCTGCAGTGAAATGATGTGATCAGCTACAAAGCAAGTAGCAATGAGGCTTTAGGCAGAGGAGAACACAAATTCTGATGGCAGGGAAAAGATGAAATCAGAAGGTGGGAAAGGACTGGAAGGAATCAATCTAGACCTGCTCACACCAGCCACACCAGCAGGGCCAGGCACAGCCTCTGACCTGGCCACGTGTTAAGCCAAGTCTGGCCCAGCCAGCAATGTCATATGCTTTGGTCAATAATGTGGAAACTTCTTTGGGGGTTAAACTGGGAAGGCTTCATCTACTCCCTGCTATAGCTCTGCCTTGTTTCTGCTGTGCTAGGGTAGGATCTGCTCCAATTGTCACACTGGAGGTCTGCAACAGAGCTGGAGAGCAGACTTCAAACACTGGACTTGCCACAGCCTTGGCAGTTATCCCTGCTTCTTGGGAAGACAAGGAACCCCATGAAATTCAGCATTCAGGGTCTTCCCAAGATGCTTACAAGAGGATCTCTTTAGCCTAAAATGTCTCTGAAGAAAAGAGCTGCCCTTTTTTCAGGTGGGATGATGCTGATGACTCAGTAAAATTCCAGTCAGTGGGCCAGTAAAGGACTTTGGCAAAGAAACATCAGAACTGAACAAAAATATAGGATGTGAAGAATTAACATCCTTTCCCCAAACCATAACATTAGGCCTGAGTCTCCAACATTAATCCAGGAGTCAAAAATATTTCACAAGGTTCAGTAACATGTATTCTTCACTCCAAGTCTCAGTGTGCTCCTTGCCATGGCCAATGGCATCAGTGGGATTTGATGCTGCCTAACACTGGGATTTTGGTCCCTTGCAGTGGTCAATCTATGCAGGAAAAACTCTCCATGTTCTATTTGAAGGATTTTTATCTGACCCATTGGATTAAGCTGCCTCTTGCCCAGAGAAATCATTCTTCTCCCCATGTGTGTCTTGTGATGCTGATGTTGTGCTTGTGACATGGGTTAAATGGACACAAACAGACCCAAGAGAGACTTTTTCCAGGCCTGACAAGGTGTGTATTTATGTGAAAAACGGTGTAAATAAAAACAAAACAAAAAAGTCCTGCTTTCCAGCTCTTCAGAAATAGCTAAATGTTGCATATAGTCAGCAAAATTTTATGTTTTGGGAATTCTGTCCCCAGCATGTTTTGCTCCTTTTCAACTGGTCAATAAAACACAGCAAAATAAACTGAAGTGTTACCCTGTCCTTATTTGTCATCCAAGTCTTAATAGAGAATGGGATGAGGTCATAATTATGTGATTGATGATATTACAGGGCTGGAGAAAACATTGGAGAAAACATTAGAGAAAACATTAGTCAGGTAAATTGAAGAACCCTCCTGAAAGTGTGTAGCTGTGTTTTGCAGGAAGTCCCAATAAATTCCCTCTGGCCCTGCTGCCTTGGCCTGAGTCTCAGGCTCAGTTCTTCCCACTGAACTCCTACAGGGCCAAAATTGTCCCCCCCACGTGTCTGTTAATTTAGCCCAGAAAAACAGCTCCA